GCTGATCGACTGGATCCGCGAGGCTCGTCTCCAGCTCAGGAGGAGCTTCGGCTCGGACTTTCCTGTTCTGCGTCTGCACTCTGACCGAGGTGGGGAGTTCTCCTCTCGCCTTCTGCGAGACTACTGTCGTGCACAGGGGATCCGCCAGACCTTTACGCTTCCGGACTCTCCACAGCAAAATGGGATTGCTGAGCGCCGCATTGGCATGGTCATGGATGTCGCTCGTACGTCCATGATGCATGCGGCTGCCCCCCATTTTCTGTGGCCGTTTGCGGTTCGGTACGCGGCGCATCAGCTCAACCTTCACCCCAGGGTCTCTCGGCCCGCGATGTCCCCAGTGTTACTGTGGACGGGGAAGGTCGGCGATGCGTCTGCGTTCCGTGTCTGGGGATCTCGGGCGTTTGTCCGCGACTTGTCTGCGGACAAGCTGTTCCCCCGTGCTGCTCCCTGTGTCTTCCTTGGCTTCCCCCCTGACGCTCCAGGGTGGCAGTTCTACCACCCCTCCTCTCGTCGTGTTCTGTCCTCCCAGGACGTCACGTTCGACGAGTCAGTCCCCTTCTACCGCCTCTTCCCCTACCGTACTCCTTCCCCCCCCCCCCCCACCGGACTTCCTGGTACCAGTTCCCCCCCCGGTAGACCCCCTCCCCCCTCAGGTTCCTGCCCCTTCCGGTGTGTCCCAGGTAGACACGGTCGAGCCAGTCGAGGTTGCTGCTGAGTCTGGTCCTGCTGCGGGTGCTGAACCTGGGGGTGCTGCTGCTGGGGGTGCTGAGCCTGGGGGTGCTGAGCCTGGGGGTGCGAGGCCGGGGGGTGCTGAGTCTGGGGGTGCTGAGCCGGGGGGTGCTGAGCCGGAGGGTGCTACGTCAGGAGCTGCTGAGCCTAGGGGTGCTGGGCCTGGAGGTGCGGAGCCTGCGCCTGCTGGACCTGGGGGCTCTCCGGTTCTTCCGTCTCGGCGGGACCCGCTCTCTCCACAGGAGCTGCGCGAGTGGTTTGCTCGCCGCTGGAGGCGTGCTGCTGGAGCTGGAGCTTCTTCGCCTGCTGAGGGTGCTGCCGGTCTCGGAGCTGCTGGGCCTGCGAGTCCTACTGGAGCTGGAGCTACTGAGTCTAGGGGTGCTGAGTCTGGAGCTGCTGAGCCTGGAGGTGCTGAGTCTGGAGCTGCTGAGCCTGGGGTTTCTCCTGCTGCTGCGTCTCGCCGGGAGCCCCTCTCTCCACAGGAGCTGCGCGAGTGGTTTGCTCGCCGCTGGAGGAGTGCTGCTGGAGCTGGAGCTTCGTCGACCGTCGAGGGTGCTGGTGCTGCCGGTCCCGGAGCTGCTGGGCCTGCGGGTCCTACTGGAGCTGGAGCTGCTGAGGGTGTTGGTGCTGAGACTACTGCTGTCTGTCCTGGCGGTGGTTCTGCTGCTGGTGCTGCTGGAGGTCCTGCCGCTGGAGGTGTTGGTGGCGCTGGTGCTGTCGCTGAGGGTGCTGGTGCTGTCCCTGCTGAGTCTGGAGCTGCCGCGCGGCCTCGGCCGTACTTCGTTCCGCTCCTACAGCAGGTTCTTGGTCTTTCTCCTTCGGTAGAGTGTCCACAGCCTGTCCAGTCGCAGTCACTGTTGGAGCCTTCCTCTCCTCTGCCTGCTCCCTCTCCTTACACTGGTCCTACTGGAGGTCTTGCTGAGCGTCGTGAGCCTGCGTCTCGTCCCGCGTCGCCGGTTCGTGCTGCTCGCGCTAGTGGTCGCGGTTCGCGTCAGCGTCCTCCTCCTGTCCCTGGCACGCACCGGATGTCTCTGCGTCCGTCCACTGCTCCTCTGCGTGCCCCTTTGCCTTCTCCTCCTGAGTCCTCTCTTCCTGCGCTTGCCGACCCTGAGTCGGACTCTCTTCGCGCTGCCAGTCCTACTGTCACGCGTCTGCTTGCTACTGTCGTCACTGACCCCTCTTTTGAGTCCACTGCTGCGTCTGCTCTAGTCGCTGAGCTCGTTGACTTTGCTGCTCGCTGTCGTCTCGACTACGCTGCTAGTCTTGTTGCTGAGTCTGCGTCTGTCTGTCCTCCGTCCGTCGGGGGTGAGTGTGCTCTTGGCACGGACGTCCTAGAGGACAGGCAGGAGGAGTTACAGTGTCTAGCGGCTGCTTCACCTCATCTCGCGTCTGTACTGCTTGCCCCTGAGGGAGACCCGGATGCACTAGACATCCCGACTCCGCGTTCTTACGCGGAGGTCGTAGAGGGTCCCTACTCCTCTCAGTGGCAGGCAGCTATGGATGCAGAGATGGCTTCCTGGAAGTCCACAGGCACCTACGTTGACGCGGTTCCCCCTCCTGGGGCGAACATCGTCAGTGGCATGTGGATCTTCAGGGTGAAGCGGCCGCCGGGCTCTCCACCTGTCTTCAAGGCACGGTACGTTGCTCGTGGCTTCAGTCAGCGGCAGGGAGTTGACTACTTTCAGACCTTCTCTCCCACCCCGAAGATGACCTCTCTTCGGGTGCTGCTGCACATAGCCGCTCAGCGCGACTACGAGCTTCACTCTCTCGACTTCAGCACTGCGTTCCTGCAGGGTAGCCTGCACGAGGAGATCTGGCTGCGCCGTCCACCTGGCTTCACTGGGACTTTCCCTCCTGGCACCCAGTGGAGCCTCCGACGGCCAGTCTACGGTCTCCGCCAGGCACCGCGTGAGTGGCACGACACACTGACGACTACGCTTGCGGCTCTTGGGTTTGCTCCTTCTACTGCTGACCCGTCGCTGTTTCTGCGCACCGACACTTCACTGCCGCCGTTCTACATCCTCGTGTACGTCGACGACTTGGTCTTTGCCACAGCGGACACTGCTGGACTCGCCTACGTGAAGTCCGAACTGCTGAAGAGACACACGTGCACAGACCTGGGTGAACTGCGCAGCTACCTTGGCTTGCAGATCACTCGGGACAGAGCACGCCGCACCATTACCTTGACTCAGTCACACATGGTGCAGCAGGTCCTTCAGCGCTTTGGCTTCACGTACTCCTCGCCTCAGGCCACTCCTCTGCCTACTCGCCACTCACTCTCAGCTCTGCCTTCGGATGAGTCCGTAGAGTCGAGTGGTCCGTATGCAGAGCTTGTTGGCTGCCTCATGTACCTGATGACCTGCACACGACCTGACCTTGCATACCCTCTGAGCATTCTTGCACGCTATGTTGCTCCTGGGAGACACAGACCAGAGCACATGGCTGCAGCGAAGAGGGTATTGCGCTACCTGTGCAGTACGTCGGGCATGGGGCTAGTGCTTGGAGGGCGGAGTCCAGTGGTCCTTACCGGCCACGCGGACGCTTCTTGGGCTGACGACCAGGCTACGCAGCGGTCGTCACAGGGTTACACCTTCAGCCTTGGTTCCGGCTCTGTCTCGTGGCGGTCTACTCGCTCGTCTTCGGTTCTCGGCTCCAGTTGTGAGGCTGAGATCTACGCCGGGGCCATGGCTGCACAGGAGCTTCGCTGGCTCACCTACCTGCTGACTGACCTTGGAGAGCCACCTCGTTCTCCTCCAGTGCTGTACGTAGACAACAAGGCCATGCTGGCCTTGTGTCGAGAGCAGCGCTTGGAGCACAGAACGAAGCACATTGCTCTCCGCTACTTCCTTGCTCGTGAGCTGCAGCAGCGTGGTCAGTTGCGACTTGCGTACGTGGCGTCTGAGGCCAACACTGCTGATGTGTTCACCAAGGCACTCGCGCCTTGTGACCATCAGCGCTTTTGCACCCAGCTGGGTCTTGTGCCTGTCTTGCCTCACTTGCTCTCCTCTTGACTTCACTTGTACTGTGACATATATATATACCTGCTCTTGCTTGTCTAGTTTTATATATATGTCTGTACTCCTGCATGTGAACTGGCCTCTGGCCCTGCTCTTGTGCTCGGACTGTGTGGTGACTTTGTGATCCACCCTGAGCTTGCTTTGCTTTGCTTGACTGGTCTTGTGACCCCTTGTTCTCCCCCACTTTGCCTATGGGGGTGTGTCAAACATTATATATGTTCTGCTTGTGTAGGCTACAGTGGGTTAGCCTATAGGGGGTACACAATTCTAGGGTTTCCTACTTGTACTCATTTCACTGCTAGTTCATTCATTCCTGTTCGCTTATTCTCACAGCATCAACGTTGTCGCGAGGCGAATTTTCTCGCCGTCGTACTCCGTCGTCGACCATCCGATCGCCGCGAAATAAATTTCCATCGTCGCGAGCCACCGCCTGATGTCGGATTTTCGATCGCTAGGGTCGAACGATTCCAGCGAGCGAAGTTTCGGAACCTCGAACTAACGCTGCGACTGCTGCAAAGTCGTCGAAGCAGGAATGTTCATGGTCGAGAGGAGCTGCGTAACGCGCTGCAGTTCGTTTCGCAGCTGCTCGTTCTCCAATCGCGACCGTTCAGTCGTCGCTCGCATCTCCGCTTCCATCTTGGCGATTTGCGCGAAGAGCTGCTGCGTAACGCCGTTGGTCGCCGGCGAACCCATCCTGTTCAGAAACCACGCGAGGGGGTTAATTCGAAAAGCGCGGAACTAGTGCTTACCAGAAATCGGCGTCGAATTGGTCTCCCCCGTCGGTTTTTCGAGGCGATTTTTTCCGCGACCGCTGCTTAGCCGAGAGTCGTCGAGTGAGAACGGCTCTGATTACCAAGTGTCACAGGATCGAATTCTCAATCGAAACTTGTAACTAAAACTTAATACAAGGCATTTATATACTCGGAAAATACAAGGATAAACGAGATAAAACGAACCTTCGGGAACACGCCCTTCCCGATACTACAATCACAAGTGCGCACAAGCACGCAAGGCTATTGGCACTTGGGATTACGCCCAGATTACACCGTATACACCACTGTCGGCGCTGTCGGTGCCGTATAATAGGTATGTCGGTGGGAAAAGTAGGAAATAAGAGAAATAAATAGAAGGCTCTAGAAAATAGAATAGTAGGCCGATTGAGATGAGATAAAGACCAAAATAAAGAGGAGAAAAGGGAGAATAGGATAACGGAAAAATATAATTGTGAGAAAATATTATAACGGGGACGTCCTCTCACAGCTGCCCTCCTGCCGGCAACTCCTGTTGTCCTCCTGCCGGCAACTCCTGCTGCCCTCCAGTCGGCAGCTCCTGCTGCCCTCGTGCGTGTAGCTCCCGCTGCCCTCCCACCACCAGCTCCTGCACCTCTCCCGCCGGCCGCTCCTGTTGCTCTCTTGCCGGAAGTACTTGCTGCTCTCCTGCCGGCAGCACCCGCTGCCCTCCTGCCTGCAGCTCTTGCTGCCCTTTCACCGACAGCTCTTGCTCCCCTCCCACCGACAGCTCCTGCTGCCATTTCGCCGACACCTCTTGCTCCCCTCCCACAGACAACTCCTGCTGCCCTCCCGCCAACAGCACATGCTGCCCCCTTGCTTGTGACCTCCCGGCCTCCCCCGACAGCCGATTCTGCTGGTCCCCTTCCTGCCACAAGGATTGGGTCCCCGCTTGACTCCCCTGCTGCAAGTCCGCCCGAGCTCTCCGCCTTCATTCCTGCCTTTGGGCCAGGTGAGGCCTGCGCGGAGCTGTGAGGGCCGGGCGTGCTGAGGGATTTCCGAGGGCATGCCGCCGCCTATCGTGAGACTCCTGCAGTCGCCGACGGTGTGCCTCCCATGCAGCCACCGCCGCGTCATCACCGGTACCTTGCCCGTGCACCCCATGACCGCACTCGCCCTCGTCCGTCGCGTCCAGGTCCCGGCTGGAGATGGTGTCGCTGCCGCCTACGAAGCCGTCGAGGGTGTCTTTGGGTGGTTCCTCCATCCCCCCCTCTGTAGAGATGGGTCCATACCTTTGTCGCTTGCTGGGCTTGCCAAAAGGCAGAGTGCATCTCATGGTGGAGGCGAGAGACTCGTGGGTATTGAATGCTCAGCGCTGACTCTCTAGGTCTCTTATGGCCAAACGCACACGGATCTTCCTCCCCCGGTCTAGGGGGTATGGGTCATCGTTCATGGCGTAAGGCGTTTGCGGGAAGCGCTAGAGGAGCACCTCCCGCCTTCGAAAAAAGGTCTGCAGTCCAGGTGAGCGTCGCTAACGTACGTAGGCTCCTCGATACGCGTGGACGCTCTTACCCGCGGGTGTTGCTACCCAGGCACGTATCTCGCCGTGTGGACCCTCCTACGCGCAAATGTCGCTGCTTGGGCATGGATCTCGCTGCTACGGCGCGGATTTCGCTGCTACGGCGCGGATTTCACTCCTACGGCGCGGATTTCGCTGCTACGGCGCCAATTTCGCTCCCTGAGCGCGGCTTGTGCTGTTATTGAGCGGATGTCGCTGCTACAGCGTAGTTTTCGACGCCTAGGCGCGGATGTCGCTGCGACAGCATGGTTTTTGCTGCCATGGCGTGGATTTCTCTGCTACGGCATGGATGTCGCTGCTACAGCGTGGATTTCGCTGCTACGGCGTGAATTTCGCTGCCACGGCTCCAGATTTCGCACCTACAGCGAGGATCTCGCTGCTACGGCGCGGGTTTCGCTGCTGCGGCCCGGACTCCGCTGCCTAGCTGCGCGCTGCTACCTGCAGTTCGCGGACTAAGCGGCCAAATCACGGGTTGGTCAGCAAGGTCGCGCCTTTGCGGCTAGGTCGCGGGCTTGGCGGCTAAATCGTGGGCTGAGCGGCTAAGATGCGGGCTGGGGGGCTAGATCTGTGGAGAAATGAGGAATGAATGACTAAGGAGAATGTGGGTACAAGTAGGAAAACCTAAAAGTGTTGTACCCCATATTGTCTACCCAACTACAGCCTACACAGACTATAGCATATGAGTTCGACACACCCCCATAGGCAAAGTGGGGGAGAACAAGAGGTCACAAGACCAGTCAAGCAAAGCAAAGCAAGCTCAGGATGGATCACAACGTCACCACACATTACGAGCACAAGGTCAAGGCCACAAGGCCAGTTCACATGCAAGATCATATATAAAGGTAAACAACCAAGTGCAGGTATAGAAAAATCACAATACAAGCAAGGTCAAGAAGTGAGCAAGTCAGGCCAAGTAGGCACAAGACGTAGCATCGTACAGAAGCGCTGATGATCACAAGGCGGAAGTGCCTTGGTAAAGATATCAGCAGTGTTGGCCTCAGAGGCCACGTAGGTGAGGCGGAGCTGACCACGCTGCTGCAGCTCACGAGCAAGGAAGTAGCGAAGAGCAATGTGCTTCGTTCTGTGCTCCAGTCTGTGCTCCCGACACAAGGCCAGCATGGCCTTGTTGTCTACGTACAGAACTGGAGGAGAACGAGGCGGCTCTCCTAGGTCAGGTAGGTGAGCCAACGTAGCTCCTGTGCAGCCATGGCCCCCGCGTAGATCTAAGCCTCAAAGCTGGAGCCGAGAACAGAAGACGAGCGGGTAGACCGCCACGAAACAGAGCCGGAGCCAAGGCTGAAGGTCTAACCCTGTGACGACCGCTGCGTAGCCTGGTCGTCAGCCCAAGAAGCGTCTGCGTGACCTGTGAGGACTACTCGACGTCGCCCTCCAAGCACTAGCCCCATGCCCGACGTACTGCACAAGTAGCGCAACACCCTCTTCGCTGCAGCCATGTGCTCTGGTCGGTGTCTCCCAGGAGCAACATAGCGTGCCAAGATGCTAAGAGGGTATGCAAGGTCAGGTCATGTGCAGGTCATCAGGTACATGAGGCAGCCAACAAGCTCTGGGTACGGGCCACTCGGCTCTACAGACTCATCCGAAGGCAGAGCTGAGAGCGAGTGGCGAGTAGACAGAGGAGTGGCCTGAGGCGAGGAGTACGTGAAGTCGAAGCGCTGAAGGACCTGCTGCACCATGTGTGACTGAGTCAGGGTAATGGTGCGGTGTGCTCTGTCCCGGGTGATCTGCAAGCCAAGGTAGCTGCGCAGTTCACCCAGGTCTGTGCACGTGTGTCTCTTCTGCAGCTCGGACTTCACGTGGGCGAGTCCAGCAGTGTCAGCAGTGGCAAAGACCAAGTCGTCGACGTACACGAGGATGTAGAACAACGGCAAAGAGGTGTCGGTGCGCAGAAACAGCGACGGGTCGGCTGTAGAAAGAGCAAACCCAAGAGCCGCAAGTGTAGTCCTCAGTGTGTCGTGCCACTCACGGGGCGCCTGGCGGAGACCGTAGACTGGCCGCCGGAGGCTCCACTGGGTACCAGGAGGAAACGACCCAGTGAAGCCAGGTGGGCGGCGCAACCAGATCTCGTCGTGCAGGCTGCCCTGCAGGAAAGCTGTGCTGAAGTCAAGAGAGTGAAGCTCGTAGTCGCGCTGAGCGGCTATGTGCAGCAGCACCCGAAGAGTGGTCATCTTCGGGGTGGGAGAGAAGGTCTGAAAGTAGTCAACTCCCTGCCGCTGACTGAAGCCTCGAGCCACGTAACGCGCCTTGAAGACAGGCGGAGAACCCGGCGGCCGCTTCACCCTGAAAATCCACATGCCACTGACGATGTTCGCCCTAGGTGGGGGAACCTCGTCGACGTAGGTGCCTGTGGACTTCCAGGAAGCCATCTCTACGTCCATGGCTGACTGCCACTGTGAGGAGTAGGGACCCTCGATCGCCTCAGCGTACGCTCGAGGAGTCGGGATGTCTGGTGCATCCGGGTCTCCCTTAGGGGCAATCAACGTGGACACGAGATGAGGCAAAGCAGCAGCAAAACACTGGAATTCCTCCTGCCTGTCCTCAAGGACGTCCGTGCTAAGAACACACTCACCTTGACAGACGGAGGACAGACGGACGGAGGACAGACAGACTTAGACTCAGCAACAAGACTAGTGGCGTAGTCTAGACGACAGCGAGCAGCAAAGTCGACAAGTTCAGCAACCAAGGCAGACGCAGCAGTGGACTCAAAGGAAGGGTTAGTGACAACAGTAGCCAGGAGACGCGTGACAGTAGGACTGGCAGCACGAAGAGAGTCAGACTCCGAATCAGCAAGGAAAGGAAGGGAGGACTCTGGAGGAGACGGCAACGGGACACGCAGAGGAGCAGTGGAAGGACGCAGTGCCATCTGGTGTGTGCCCACGACGGCTAGAAGACCTGGACGCGGAGCACGACTACGAGTGCGAGCAGCAAGAACAGGCGACGCAGGACGAGACGCAGGCTCACGACGCTCAGCAAGACCTCCAGTAGGACCAGTGTAGGGAGAAGGAGCAGGTAAGGGGGAGGCTGGCTGTAACTGTGACCACGACTGGACAGGCTGTGGACACTTGAAGGGAGGAGCAGGACCAGTAGAGGGCGGGAGACCAAGAACCTGCTCAAGGAGCAGAACAAAGTACGGCCGCGGCCGCGCAGCGCCTCCAGAACCAGCAGGGACAGCACCAGTAACCCCAGCGGCAGCACCAGCGCCAGCAGCACCTCCAGCTCCAACAGCGCCAACTCCTGCACCCTCAGAAGCACCAGCGCCAGCAGCACCTCTAGCGCCAACACCCCCAGCTGCTCCAGCTCCAGCAGGACCGTCAGCTCCAGTACCGCCAGCAGCTCCAGCAGTACCGACTCCAGTAGCCCCAGCAGCACCCCCTGTCCCAGCAGCTCCAGTACCGCCAGTACGAGCACCTCCAGGACCAGCAGCAACAGTAGCACCTCCAACTCCAGCAGCACGGCTCCTGCGCCGGGCAAACCACTCGCGCAGCTCCTGCGGAGAGGGTAGCTCCCGCCTCGACGAAGCACCGCCAGAGGCCACACGAGCAGACCCAGCACCCCCAGGCTCCGCACCCCCAGGCTCCGAACCCCCAGGCTCAGCACCCCCAGGCTCCGCACCCCCAGGCTCAGCACCCCTAGACTAAGCACCCCCAGGCTGCGCACCCCCAGGCTCAGCACCCCCAGACCCAGCACCCGCAGGCTCAGCACCCCTAGCAGCACCAGAGTCAACAGCTACCTCGACAGGCTCTACTGCGTCTACCTGGGACACACCTGACGGGGCAGGACCCTGAGGGGGGAGAGGGTCTACCGAGGGAGGACTAGGCGCAAGGAAGAGCGGCGGCAGGGGGAGGGGCGCAGTGCGATAGGGGAAGAGACGGCAGTAAGGCACCAACTCGTCAAAGGTGACGTCCTGGGAGGACAAAACATGGCGCGAGGTGGGGTGGTAAAACTGCCAACCAGGCGCATCAGGGGGGAAGCCAAGGAAGACGCAGGGAACAGCACGGGGGGACAGCTTGTCTGCAGACAAGTCGCGGACAAACACCCGAGATCCCCAGACACGAAACGCAGACGCATCGCCAACCTTCCCCGTCCACCGCAAGGTGGGGGAGGTGTCTGGCAAGGAGACCCGGGGCTGAAGGTTGAGCTGATGCGCTGCGTACTGAACCGCAAACGGCCACAGAAAATGGGGAGCAGCCGCATGGATCATGGACGTACGAGCGACGTCCATGACCATGCCAATGCAGCACTCAGCAATCCCATTTTGTTGTGGAGAGGCCGGAAGCGTGAAGGTCTGGCGGATGCCCTGTGCACGACAGAAGGCTCCCAGACGAGCAGAGGAAAACTCCCCGCCTCTGTCAGAGTGCAGACGCAGAACAGGAAAGTCCGAGCCGAAACTCTCTCTGAGCTGGAGACGAGCCGCGCGGATCCAGTCGATCAACACCTCAGTGACGTCACCCTTGTTGCGCAAGGGGAACACCATGGTGTAACGCGAGTAGTCGTCAACTACCAACAAGAAGTAACGCTCGTGACCCTGGCCACGGACGCGGGCGGGGCCCCACACGTCCATGTGAAGAGTCTGCAGCGGAGCCTCTGTCGGATGAAACTCGGAGGAGTGAGGGGCGGCGCGCTGCCGCCCCTCGACGCAGGGAACGCAGGTAGGGGCAGGCCCCGGAGGGAGGGGAGGGAGGGACCGGGGGAGACCAGAGACAAGGACACGGGAGGCCATGCCTCGGAGACGAGGCAGG